AGTGAAGAGGGGCCATGAAATTAGCTCTGACCCACATGCCTGGGGTCTACAGGAAATCAAAGTACACATAATAGAAATCATCCGTTCAAAGCATCGACCAGGACTAGAAACAATTTCGAAACCAGGGCCTTGCCTTTGGACTCAGATTTTGAGGGAACGACTATTGTAAACAAACTCCACTATCAAGGCTGCAGGCAACTAATTGGGTTTTCTGAGCGCGGTGACAAGAGATTCCAACGGGAGGGGCTTTGGCTGCCTGGCAGGGGCGCGGCAACACTCCAGAGGAAGCAGGGATTTCCGAAATCTGGCCCCACAGCCAAGTTTTTCTCATCCTTTGGGTCCCAAACCTTGCCCTAACCTCACTACATACATAACTGGGTAGATGTTGAACAAGGGTCCACAGGTGCTGCACTGGTCAGGCGGAGCAGAGCGGCGACACGGACCGTGAGCAGGCACCAACGGAGCCGATGCAGTCCTTGCAGAAGGGCCTGCCCCCATGCCCGGAAAAGGGGACGCCGGGAACCGACTCCCAGGGGCTTCTCCTGTGAAGTACGCCGAAGTCACTGCCCACAGGGGACTGGTTCCTTCAGTGGGCCCTGAAGTCAGACTCTGAGAGCGCTGAGGAGCTATAAGCTCACACCGATGTTACACTTACAGCCAGTAACAGAACACAGTTTCCGCAGATGGAGGGCTTGCTCTACGTATGAGCCAACTCTATGAACTCATCGTCCCCTCGGTACAGCACTGCCACTTCCTCTTCACCCTTCACCCACCCGGTGAGGTTAACAGGAGCTCGGCCTGCGGTCACACACGAGTTACCCAGGTATCCCAATGTGGGACTGTGAGTCACGATCCCTCCTTCCAGTGAGGCTTCTGGCTTAAAGACAAAGCCCTACTTCCGACCACGACTGACTGCTTTACCTACTCAATTTTGTATCACTGTTACTTAATTCTGGCTAATCAGGTGAACTGAGGCCTTGGATATCATGCTGCCAGCACTAAACAGTGCCAGAGACAACCAAGACATCAGAAAGAAACGGGAGGTGCCTAGACCCTCTCTGTGTCTCTAGCTGTGTGGACGCGAGGTCCCCGGGGACAGGATCCCACGTGTGTGAAGACGGGGGCTCTGGCCATGCGGACACCCAGCACAGGTTGGAGTGCTGGGCCGTGACTGGTTTTAGACACCAAACCCACTCCCCAAAGAATCACGCATGACGGTTCCCTGAGCACAAACAACGATGTGATGACTTGCCCTCTGAATGGCATAAATCCCTTCACAAGCTACCCCTCAAAATAACAAAAATGAAATTACCTTCCTTCAGAGGGAAACTCACTTTTCCGACTCTTTCAACCTCCGAGATGCTAGCGGGACGGTGCTCTTCCCTGTTCTGGCAGATTCAGGAGTTCTACGGAAAGAGACTAAAGAGTTTCATGTGGATCTTTCAGACTCAGGAGAAAATCCAAACGGAAGCTCAGACAGGGAGAACAAACTGTGTCTATCTGGTTTGTCCCGTTTACTACTATGTGCAAGGCCAGCCCACCCAGGCTGAGGAAGATGGTGATCCCTGCACCTCCCGGGCAGGTCAGCCTACAGGGGCCCAGTTTGCTCACAAACATACTTCTGTGGCTTGAAGCTCTTCCATGGAGTTGGTCAAAACTGATCTATTTCATCCCTTCCTTGGCCACAGTCGAACCAACCAGGGCTACAGCGACACAGCTGGAACTCTGCCTGGCTTCTCTGTAAACTCACCATCTTTTTCACGGCACTAGACTCGGCAGTCCCAGAAAACACGGAGATGAAATCAAACATCAGGCCAGGATTATACTTAGCACAGGAGACCTACTCTGAACTACTTCTGAAGTCGATCCTATTGGAAAAGGCAGTAGAGTGGGTTGGGAAGTTCTAGAACAAGCACAGTGAGAACCCATGAGGCTACTGGCTTAAAGAACAATCTCCAACTAATGAAATGCAAATTAGGAACTAAACAAAACCAGGACACGAGCAAAATTCCAGGATACATTTGATAACTTTCCTCCCTTCCCTTCATTTTATCATTTCCACGCCCTACAGCCAGTTGAGCGAGGCAGTCATGAAGCGGCATAGAACGGTTTCACCCCTGCTGCTTCCTCGAAAACAACCGTCTTTTATGTAAATGTCGGCATCACTCTACAGAGCACCTTAGGACCACATGCTTCGGGGTTAAAAAGCAAGCTTTTACAGAAAAGTGGTTTAAAAAATAAACATAAAAGTACAGGCTTTGGGGTTTGGGTTTCACTTAATTCTTTCAAGGGGGACTGGGGAAGGCTCATCAACACAACTCAGATATTTTGTGTGTGTTTGACAGTATCTAATCCCACTGATTAAAGTGAGACGGTGAGCTTTCAGAGTTAAACATACTATAGTGAGCTTTCAGAGTTAAACTACTAAAGTGTATATACAATATATACACTTTAAAGTCTCAGATTTTCTTTCCTAAATAACAGATAAAAGTATTTTTAAAGTGCATGGATCAACTAAGAAAAACACAAGAATGGCCTCCCTTCTCGTTGCCACTGCCCTCGTGCTAAAGCTACACGCTGTCTGAGGCTGGAGTGGTGGGTCCTGAGGATGTCTCCTGGAGCAGAAGGGAGCAGAATGGAGCAGCCCTGCCGCGGCAGCGTCACAGCCACCCCGCTCCGGCCCAGGGGTGCTGCACAGGGGTGCTGGAGAAGACGACGGCGGCGGGAACTAGGGTCGGAGGAAGAGGGGGGACACAGCTGGAGTCTGAAGGACGGAGGCCAGGAAACACGTCTGTGGGGGCCGCCTCCCGCGGGACCCCTGCAGAAGGGAACGGCTGCAGAGAGAGGTCCCGGGGCTCTCTGGCCGAGCGAGCGCAGCTGATGTCCGTGCGGGAGCGGCCTCTCACCGGGCACTTGCCGGGGGGAACAGAGCGGTAGGGTCGTCTTTGTTTGAAAATTAGCGGCTCGTAATTTTAAAATCTAGGTGGTGCTATGTATAAGCATGTCTGCTATGTATTTCTTTTAAAAACTCTGCTGAAAATTTTTCATAGTAAAATGCTGGGGAAAAAATAACCCTTTAAACATGTCTTCTTTCTGAAAGCACCAATTCAAAAACTAAACAGATGGAAAAAATGTAAGGACTCAGCCACTTTGCGCAGAGAGTTCTAGTGTCTCTCCTACGGTGAAGTACTTTCTTTCGGCTGTTCATTTGTATCTGCGCTCTGGGAGACAGGGTGCAGGCGAAAACAAATGATTTTCCTTTTATTGTTTGGTTCTGTAAACCTGGACAGGGAGAGACCGAGGAAACAGCTACCTCTCAGGATTTGCTGGGCTGCAGAATTCTCAGCACCTACCTATGCTTCGGTAAATAATATTTTGTCCCTGAAGTTCCATAACTTCAGAAATCTAATATGGGAATAGTGAATGCATTTTTTAAAAATACCTTCTTTTAGCTATTTTGTGCAAACGGAACACAGAAACCCTGACTGCTAGTGACACGCCGAGGGAGAATGAAACGTGGGGATGTCCAGGACTTCAGAGGCGCCTGGACAGTGAGAGGCACACGAAGGCGATGGGAACAAGTCCCCAGGCTTCCCTGATGCAACAGAAGTAGGATTCCAAAAAAAAAAATAAATACAGAGACTCTCACGGCAAAAATAAACAGCAAGTGTTATCCAGGGAGCTTGCTGTGGCCTGGCAGCTCCATTTTGAGAGAAAGTCAGAAGTTAATAATAGGCAAGAAAAATAAGCAAGGCTTTAGCTGACCGGAGAGCAGCTCGGTAGAGAATCATGTTACAAAGATTCTGTGAGCAAAGGCATGATCACCCATTAGTGACGAGAGTGGTTGGTCATTCGGTTATCTGATGGGCTGACACACAGCAGGTTGGCTTTTTGCTGCCCAAACAGAGTCTAGAAAATAATTTCTAATGTCTTACAAGGTATGTACATTCTGGCCAGGGTGATCCTCTACAGAGCGCACTCAAATGTAAAATGATCATGGTGTGGCGCTGCGCAGAGCACGGGGAGGCGAGGGCAGCCCCCCCGCCCCACCCCACCCCACTCCGGGCTGTGCGCCCGGGGAAACGGAAGGAGCAGGCAGTGTCGCCTTTGCTCAAGACGCAGATGCCACCGCAGACCTACTGTGAGGAGCCCTGTTCTTCCGTTTCCCGTCCCGTGGGGGTAGGCACTCACATGGGAAGGAATGAGCCAGAGGAAACCGCCTGAAGAAGGCGACTCCTCAGAGGAGGCAAAAGACTCTGACACCCTGGAATCACAGGATACCTCTGACTGGCTAGTCAGGTCCCTTGCCCTCAACCCGGGGCAAACGGGCAGGTTTTCTCACGACCTGGCATCTCTCCCGGGGAACGCCGGGGTGGGTCAGCGTCATCCATCCCTAAAGGGGCAGACTCCTCCCGAAGCATCACAGGACTGACCTGCAGGCACGGAACGCTACCACTTCCCAGCTCCTCCTAAAACACGCACTCACTCCACAGGGAGGTGGCCTCAGCGGCTCAGGGCAGACAGAAGCCTTCTCACAGATGGAAACCGTTTCAAAGACAAAATGAAATGTGCTAAAAAAATAAATAAAGTAATAAATAAATCTAATGATTTCTCACAATTCTGAGGAAGTAACTCAAGACACAAGGAGTAAGAAACCAGAAGTACCGACAACCGCGGTGGTCCCTTCAAAGCCTGAGGCCCCGCCGCCCTGCCCCTCTGGAGACCACGGGCTGCAGCGCCCGCGGCACGCCACAGGCCTTGGGGTCACAGAGCGGGGATGGCCCTGCCAGGGGAATGCGAGACCTGGCCTGGAAAAGAACTGACCCAACCAGCAGCGACAGCGAAGCTCGTTATTACCTTTCCTACGAGACTCTGAACACCACAAGCTGTATGACCTCAATGCAACCTAAATACAGGGATTTTGAAAGTGTGATTGGTTCCAAAGCAAAATTTCTAAATAACACTCCTACTCTAAAGAAACAAAAGCACAGTGGGGAATCTGGAGTGTTGTGGTTTTTTTTTAACTTCCTTTGATTATACCAAAAAAAAAAATTAGTAAAATTTGACTTTCAAAGATGTGAGTTCTGGTATCAATCCAGTACCTAACTGCCACCCTCTCCCCTTCAACCACCAGCGCCCTTGGTAAGGGACATAGCCTCCTGAAACAGGAAGTGATGGGAAACAGGAGGTGGTCTTTCTTCCCAGAGACCCTGGTTACACTGATCATCACTTTAGATTGCATGGAAGTTCTTGCTGTGAGGGCAAAGACACAGGCCTAGGAAAGGGAAAAGCGGAGGCGAACAGGCAGAGGCGAACCATCAGGACCGGCGCACCCGTCGAAGGCAGTGAGGGCTCCCAGCCTGTGCTAGAGACCACGAAGAACCGGCAGGCGGGAATATGGCAGTGGTTGAGAGGCTGGGCAGACCCTTCTCCAGGCAAGAAACTCGTCCTTCATGGACAGCGTGTTTTCCCCTCTTCCAGTTCTTCTAAACAGAGAGCGGGCACCACCGAACACATCTGCAATAAAGGCTCTGGGAGAGGAGAGAGCAACACTGGAATAATACACCTTATACCAAAACAAGCCTCTTTTTAAAAGGCAATGCTCAACTTGCTTTTAGGCTGTTGCCTGATGGGCGCCTTCATAGAGGGATTCTGCTGGAGTCTGAAGCAAGAAGAGCATGAGTCATGGACCACAGAAGAGGGGCACTACACCACCACCTGCAGAAGCCAGGAAGGGGCAGAAGCTATGTGGGGTCAACGTCAGGCATGCCAGGCAGGGCATGAGGGTCAGGAGCCTCACGCTCAACTTCGGGCTCTTGTCTGCCCAAAACAAGAAGCACCAGCTGGCAGCCCGCTCCAGCCAGCAAACACCACCTGCCCAGAGCCCACGGGTCTTCAGCTGGTGTAGTAGACATGGAAGTAGAGAGTCTTGTTGCGCAGCAGGGAGTAGGAGTTGTCAAACTTGAGCAGGTAGATGCCCTCGCCAGGGTAGTCATGGCTGCCTGCCTGCACGTCCCGGTGGCTGTCCCGCCGGTACACGGGCATGACCTCCCCGTAGCGGCTCCGCAGGGAGCTCCTGGAGCCTCTCTCTACGTCTCCAACTGGGACAGGGTCTGCATGAGCAAAACGGCAGAGTGTTTGGACAGGAGGTTAGAAACTGTACATGTAAGTCCCACCTGAAGGTAGGAGAATGGCCCAGGTGAACCAGTGTCTTTCACCCACTGGGGATGCTACGGCCCCCCTACAGGAATGTGTGGGTGATGCCAGGGTCCAGGGCTGCACCTGCTTCTTAGCAGGCATCCCACCCCAAATCCCAGTAACGTCCCCACTGAGAAACGAGGATTCAACCCTACAGAGCCAGAGCCTACTGGGCTCTAGAGGTGTCTGGACGTTTCCACGGGAAAGAAAATGACATTTAGAAGAGAAGACTGTCACATCCTCTCATTCAACAGGGGAAGAACTAGCTAATGGTAGGAGATGCCGGCACACTCGCTGTGCAGAGTGCCTAGAACTGCCCCTCGGCCTCCTAAGGAGCAGCAGTAACACACAAGGTTCTCCTCTTCCTTAAGTACCCTAAGATTCCCCTGCAGACTTGCTTGTCCACGAGGAAGCAAGTAAAGGAGTTCATTTTAAGATAATACAGGAACATCAAAGAACAAAGTTAATGCTTAGAACCTACTCTCATATCACGCCCCCCCCCCAAATGCCTCAGGGCCATCCTGAGAAGGTGCTGCAGGTAACGCCTGGGACGAGCCCAGAGACCACTTTCAAAACCGCCCGAGGAATAAAACCAGGGAGCAGCCGGTCGTCAGCCGGCCGTGACCATCTGGTGAGGGTGGAGGTGGAGTTGACGAGAATGGGTACACATCTAACGAACTATAACCATTCGGTTTGGTGCCAGGCCAAGAATAAATGTAAATCTCGTAAAACTAAGAGGAAAATAAAAAACAATCTGAGGTTTTTATGTGACCTGGGAAACACTGCCTCTGCACAGTGGCACTGACCTGCCCAGTCCCCTGCCCCCACGGGGATGCTGGCGAGACAGCAGGTACTGATTAAAAGCAAAGGAAGCTTTCCACTAAGGCATCAACACCAGTCCTACCAGAAAGTTCTCTGAGGGTCTGACTTTGGCTTGCATCACTCAGCTGAGCTGGTGACGCTGAAAGGGATTCCTCGCCTGCACTCTAAGGAGGAGGAGGACCGTACAACACAGAAGTGCTCACCAGATCGTAGGCTGAGCCTGGAAAGGAAACTGCCAACTACGTTCAAGTTAAATTTACCTTCAATCCCTTCCTCCTCTTCCTCATCTTCATCCTCATCCTCACTGGAATCACTGACCTGCACAGTTATGTCAGTGCTGGTCACAGGGGTCCAGTCAAAATAAACTCCAAAGCCAATGTCATAGTCGTCGGTCGCAAACTCCCAGCAGACACGCTTCCCCTCCGGATGGGTGGGCACCCGGATGGTCACCACCTCACCCCGCTTCACCACCAGACAGCTGTTCTTCTCTTTGCCCAGCTTGCTTTTGAATTCCTTCATCTTGGAAAAGGTCCAGACGCACGGAGGAGCCATCAGAGATGGGGAGACTGGAAGGACAGGCAGCGTATCACTGAGAAGCCAGAGGGAGATGCTGCCACACCCAGCACTTGGCTCAGGGAGGCTGTCACAGTCAACGACATTGCACCTACTGGATTCCTTTTCTGCTTCCCGTCACAAGTTACTTTCTGTGCTTCCCTCCATCCAGCTGCCTGCCTGCCTTCCTTTACGTTCCCAGTGGAAACAGAAACGCCACCTTCCGTACCCCCAAAGGGCTCACCGTTCCTGTGGTCCCCCAGAAGGTCTGCAGATTCCAAGTCAGCGGAGAGAATATCTACGGCTCCTGTGTGCTCGGACTGGATCATAACGATGTCCCCAGACCTCTGCGGGGCTGGGTACTTGGCCATCTGCGCAACAGAACGCCGGTCAGGGGACGTATTCGAGTGGCAGAGTCCAGCCAGCCTCTTTCCAAATGAAGGCTGCCAACCCTGCCCTGTCACTCACTTGCCCAGCTCTTAGCCTAATGTGCTGCTCATCGTTCCCTCTCTTTCCTCCAGGTACAGGCTGCTAATAAATTCTGTTTTAATGCTGCCGACATGTTCCCCAATTTAAAGATACTTTCTTGTTCTCTCCTACCTTTGTCAACTTTCCTACTCAATCAAGACACTTGATAAAACCCTTGCCCACAAATATCTTCAAAGCTTGCTACTGACTTTTGCATCAGCAGTGTTTCTGGGCCATGTCTCGGTCTCCCCTTGGCCTGCCTGGTACCTCCCTGCAGCTTCATTCCTGACAGCTCTTGCACAAGGGTTTAGCTCAACCCCCACGCTGCCACCCAAGCCTCCTGCTGCAGTTCCCATCCAAAGGTTACTTCCAGACCACTGTCCGTCAATTCACCAAAGCACCACAGAGAGAGAATCCAGTGTATTGTCTCTCTCCCATCCACAGCTCACCTCAGATGTCTTTTCTCACTGGTTGTCTCATCCACTATCATGGTCTATAAATAATTATAATTTCCCCTTAGAACAGCCCCAAGACTTGCACGTAAACAGTATATATGCTGCCAGACATCTAACCTGCATGGAACAGTACAAATGCCACTCAGTACTCAAAGCCCTTGGTAACTCATGGCAGGAGCATACAATGTCTCCCTAGAGGGTCTCACTTCAGATCACTCAGATTAGTGTCCCTCTGTCTCCTGGTATTACGCCTTAATTTTCTGCTCCTTGTCCAAACAGTTGGCAGGCAACTCAAGAAGTACACCTACTGCCAACGTGGGAGAGCACGTCTGTGAGACAGCGGTCCAGCTCAGAGACCAGAAGTATATTTGCAAGAAAGGAAGGAAGAAATTTTGCAATCCTCCCAGATTATATTCTTATACTACCTGTTTTTGGAGAATGAGTCTTTCGGTTCTCAATTCCATCGCTAAAGGAAGTGAATCAGACTGTGAACTTGCTTGAGCCCTTCCTTTTCCAGAAGGCTAAACAAAGGATTTAGCTTGCAGCTTATTAGCTACATAGTCTTAGTAAAGCCACTAACAGCTCTTAGCCTCAGTTTCCTCATCTGTAAAATGGGGACACAATGGTACCTGTCTTGCAGTGTTGTTTTCAGGAGTAAATGCAGTACTGTGGATAAAATGCTTTCTAAACTCTAATGCATTATACAATTGTAATTCTCATGCTTGCCATTGTCCTTACTGACACTAATACTATTTGTTATTATAATATATATGTTAAAAATGATACAAACAACACATTCTTCCGTGGCAAAGAGACCACTGCTACCGATACCATTTCTGTGGAATCTTTACCACAAACGCTGAGTAGATCTAGCACAAGAAAAGTGAGGCTAAAACACAGCCCAATGGTTTAAACCTTCTCACCCTGAGAGGATTTTAGACAATATGTAAACATTCATTCTAATGCTTCATTTTTTAAATAGGTACCTATTGGGTGCCAGTACAGTGATATGGGAGACACACATGATCATTCCCCAAATGATTAAAAATGAGATGCCCAAAGAGAGCGAAGAGAATTCTGTGAGCCACTCTCACAGTGCTTTCTAATTCCAACCCATCCACGTGTGTCTAAATTCTGGTGCCATAAACTCCTCCTTTTCAAAGAGAGAGTGAGAACGTGCTCCCTACCTTGTCGAGGACGTGGGCCTGGTCTGCAGCCCGAGACTCCTGCCCCACCAAGGCCTGGACCTCCAAGGCACTGGCTGCTTTCCGCGGATCTTCTGTGGCATCCTCCTTCCCTGGAGACACCATCTGCAGCCTCTCAGAGGAAGACAGCAGGTCAGTTCCAGGACTCTTTAAAAAGGGCACGATAGACCTGGAGAAACTCAGAAATAAAACCACCCTCAAAGGACACACCCCACAGCCCCTGCTTTCCTCTGGTATTCAGGTCTATCAGGTCTACTGTCAACTTGGCTGACCACTGCCCAGGGCTAGCCCAGCCCACAGTCAAGTGGTGACCATATATGAGGGGCCACAGGCCGATGAGGCCACATCCCAGGCTCCAAGAACCGTGGTAAACACACACCGCAGTCCATCGCAGATGGACTGCAAGGTCTGATTTTATTCCTCACTCTGGGACCCACACCATCTGTTCCACACAGAATTTCAACAAGAGTTAGACTCCCAGCACACACACAGCCACTGGTTAGCAGCAAAGGAAGTGCTCACTAAACAAAGGAAGCACACACCGATTAGCAAGGACACCCCTGTCCAGTTATCCCAAGACCAGTCAGCCTTTCAGCATCTCCATGGCACACGCTACCTGTGGCAGGCTACCACGGATCCCATACTGCACCCAATTCACCGGGCAATTTAAAGAGGCAGTCACCTTCTTTCCTGTTTAAGCACATTAATCTACTATCCCAATGACTTAAACCACACCTATTTGAGTAGTTGATTTTAAAGAAGCAAGGGAATAATCATGCCCTCTTCCGTTTCCCCTGGCTTCCAGAGAAACTAAAAAGTGCTCGAAGTGGCAGGCCTAGAACACAACCCCCAGCTCTCCCGGGGGTCTCTTTCCCACCAGGGGGCCTGGGATCTCCGCAGCAGCAGTTACTGGAGTACTGTCTGGGACCCTCTGTCCGTGAGGCTCTTTTGCGGGAGTCTGAGTCAAACGTTTTTCAAAATAATTCTAAAATATCATTTGTAGTTTTTTATTTCATCTTCTTAAAGGAGTATACCGTGGAGTTTTCCAGAGACCACCTGTGACACTGCAACCGAATGAATGCAGCAGCCGATCTGAGAATCCAACTGCCTCTTGTTAAGCCAGACCTTTAAAGAATTTACATCTTGCTTCTCACTAAATTATTGTTACTTTAAAAAAAACTTATTCATGTTCATTAAATACATGTTATTTATATTAGCATGTAATGAGTTTGTTATTGCTCTTTTTGAATCAACATGCTTTAGCCTTTCAGCTTTAATGAATATAGTAAATGTTGATAGATGTAACCCACATAATAAGTAACAATCCTTCGGGGTGTAAAGGCTTGAGAACCGTTGCTTTAGGGCACCAGTTCCTCGAAAACAGAGGGCCTCCTTGGGAGTTCATCCGTTTCTCTCTCTCTCTCTCTCTCTTTCTTTCAACACAAACAAGAAAAAAAACTTCTAGCTTATAAATTACCTCTTCTTTAGATAAAATGGAGCTATCTTTCAGCATATCCAAGTAACTCCAACCTACCTTAGAGCAAACAAGAGGGAGTTACTATGAAAATCAGAGTGTGGGATACGGCTGATTTTTAGGAGTTTGCTTGGGTAATCCTGTGTCAGTTGTAAACTCTGGTGTAAGCCTATTTTATCCCCCAGACCAGAAATTTCAGTCCACTTTTATTTCTTGACACTATTATTATCTGTCTCCCTATTAGGTGAGCTTGAAGGCAAGAACTTAGCCTTACCCCCTCTGTTTGCACAGTACCTACAGCCAAGCCTGTCACATGGAACCCTAATGCCCTTTGCACTCTGACCCCATCTCTCCCTGAATGATCTCACCTCACCCTGCCTCGTCCACTCCAGGCACGAGCACCTCTGAATCTCTTAAGAATCCTCAAACAGTTCAAGACCTCTCCCACTTGAGGGGTTTTGCACCTGCCGCCAACTGTCTAAAATCCTCTTCCCCTAGTCACCTCCTGGCTTCTTTCCTTCCTTCAGGTTTCTGCTCAGCCATGACTTCCGGAGGCTCTCCCCTCCTGGGCCCCATCTCTCTTTACACCTTCCCCCGCTTCGCTTTCCTTCACGGCGCTCATCCCCGCCTGGCGTATTATGTACCATATTCTGTTGATTGCAAAATGCATATTTGTTTTCAGACTTTAATGCAACTGAAATATGGGATGTCCTAAAGGCTGGTGGTGTCTTCAAACCGCCTTGAGCCCGGACTGGCATCGAGTCCTTCCACAGGAGGTCTGTGTTTGCTTCTGCCGGTGCTCGGGAGTGCTACCAACAGAGTCGACTTAGAGCTCTGTTTAAGGGCTTTGTTCAGAGCACACTGGCAGAGGGACACTGGAAAGCAAACTGGTGACCGGCGTGTGGTTCAGCCCCTCGGAGGACGTGTTCTGTCCTGCCCTCACACAGTGAGGAGACACGCCAGCTTCCTTGCCGTCCTTTGCCATGCAGAGGGATGGTTCTCCCTGTTTATCTTTTCCCTGAAGGGGCGGGCTTTTGTTGAACCAAAGCTCCGTGTGGAGGGTCTCCTCTGAGACTGGCTGTCTTGGGCATTTTTTCCTTACTTGCTGGTACATAAAAGAGCAGGTCATCTCACAGTGGATGGCAACGGAGAGTCTATGAGATACAACGCATACTCTCCTGTCTGCCTCCCTCGTGGGATATAAACTCCACGAGACCAGGGACTTGGATTGCTTGTTCATTTTTTCTTTTTATCGGTTCTGTTTTTTTTATTGTATTTTTTCCCATTTCCTCTTATTCCCCCCTCCCAAGCGCCTGTTCATTTGTAGCATCTCCAGTGCCTAGAAGAGTGGTAGGTACACAGGAGGCTCTCAATAAATATCTGCTGAATGAATAAACAGTAGACACCCAATCGTAAGTAAATGGTAAGTGGATTTTTGTTTGGGAACAAAGAAGTATTCCAAAGGAATGTTTGGAATGTGAGAATACGACAGTTAATCTGACCATTATTGGCCTGCCCTTACCATATACGGCACCTAAAATTTAGTATCTTCATTGCCTTTGTGCATGTTACTTTGCACAAACATGGCTCTACTTACTGAAAAGTATTTTACACTGGACAAATAACAGCCACATAAATTCAATATTCACATTGGCATATTTCGCTCTGAAGAATCAGTGAAGGGTATTTTGGGAAAGATAAACTGCAAATCACTTGACGCCAATGATGAACCCCGCACAGGGAGAACTCCCCCCGGACAGCTTCTGGTCGTGCCGACCCACCCAGAACACGGGTGCTGCTCCGAAGGGAGGGGCCAGCCTCACGGAACAGGCAGAGAGTTGTGCCGTTCCCATTCCCAACATACACAAAACACAAACACGGTGCTAAGCATCAGGCACTAACCGTCACAATCGCTGGATTTTTCTTCACATACTAGATTTTAGAAACAAAACTTTAAAGTTAAATATTTTTCTGAGAATGTTCTATACAAATAATCCTCAGTCAACAAATGTATTTATTCTTAGGGGGAAAATCAGTTCTGTGCCAAACCCACCCCCTAAAGATCCTTCAGACCAACAGAGAAAGGGCGGCGGCAGGAAGAGGGCAAGTCCTCCTCCAGGATTTGATGAGAACGTACATTGCCTCAAACAACCAAAGCCTTGGGGAGGCTGCCTTCCAGAAGGAGTGTTTTAGATAGTAACCTAGTAGCTCTAAGCAGAGAACTCAAAACTCTGCTACTGCTACTTGTGAGACTAAGCTTCAGGGTCAAACAAACCGAAAGCTGGGTAAACGGGCAAATCACTTAATTCACTGTTGGATTTTCCTCATCTTAAAAAACAATAGGTATACTTATCTAATGAGGGTTGCTATGAGAATTAAATGAGATAACACAGTTTAACACCTGGAATAGTATAAGCAAATATATTCAATAAAAAGTAATAATTTTATTATCATTGTTACAGAGAAATATTTAATAAAACGTGGCTTATATTATTATCACCGACTATATTAATCATTATCTTCCATCATCTGAATTTGGGGGAAAAGAATTTTATGTCGTATACAAAGATAAGAAGAAAGAACTTCTACTCAAGAAGTAACAGATTTTAAAAATATCCTGACATTCTCCCACTCTCCATTTTGTGTGAGACGTGAACACGACAGGTTCTGCCTGAATGGTACTATGCTCTGACTGGTGGGACTATCGTGTCCACTAGCTCAGGTTCTCTGAAACAGTTTCCACTAATTATTCCGCAATGTTTCATGTGTCCACTCACCCCAGAGCCCAGCACAACTCTCCCCTTTCTCCTGCACGCTCTGACATCACCGATGGCAGGGGAGGAGATGGGCGGAGAGGAAAGTTAACTTAAGAATGTAACTTGAAAGTCATCATAATGGTGTAATCCGAAAATTACATAATAAAAAAACTGCCTCCAATAATGTGTGTGTTTTTTTAATAAAAATCAAACACACGCTGTCCTGAAAGTCCACCTGCAATCTACTTCAAATGCCTCCACATTTGAACCTAGTCTTCAGGAGAACGTAGAGACAATACACTGTTTGCTATGGTTTTATTCTCTGAGAGTAAAAGAAAATTTTATAACTTGAAATAGACCTAACACCGCCCCTAAGTACACTTAAGGGTCGATTATTTAACGGCAAACCATTCAGACCCTCCACTTCAACTTGCCTTCCCCTTAAAGTCGCCGCCCACTTCTTTCGCCAGTTCCTTCTCTCCAAAAGAAAAGTTCTAGAAGCATTTCATCCAAAGCCATTGCTGTCCCTACCTGGAGGGTGAGGAATGGGGCTCTGGATCGGAGGCAGAAGCCACTGGAGACGTGACCTTGGTGTTTTCTAGATCTTCCTTCTCTAGAAAATCATGGAAAGAAAAGTTCAACATCAAAGAGGGAACATAATCATAATTATCTTGTACCATTTTTAAAAATCTGGCAGGCCCTGGCCAGAGGGACTCAGTTGATTGGAGAGTCATTTCCTAACCCAAAAGGTCACAGGTTCCATTCCCAGTTGTGGAGCAAACAAGAGGCAACTGATGAATGTTTCTCTCTCACATTGATGTTTCTCCCCCTCTCTGTGTCCCTCCCTTTCCCTCTCTAAGCATGCCCTTGGATAAGGAAAATAAACAAACAAACAAACAAATCAATCTGGCAGTTTCAAACAACTTTCTGTTTCCAAAAATATTCTGGGCATAACTTTATACTCTGGAAGGCCCAGCACATAAGTTATTCAAATCATCACATCCAAGTATTCTCAGATAGTCATAACCCATTTATAAAAAAATACTTTATTTTTCAAAACAAGTCCCCACAGAAGCAATCCTAACTCAAGAATCATTATTTCTCAGAAAGCAGATGGTTAAATTACGCAGAAAACACAGGGCAGAGTGAGATGCAGGATGAAACAAACTGGAATTCAGCGCCGAAGGGTAGAATGCCGCCTCTATAATAAGCTCAGATCCCTGTATCCAAGGTCAGGCAGAAGACTTCTGTAATTCCATTCATTTACTCACCCACTCACCAATGAATGACTCGCTGAATGCTGTTGGGTGCCTTCGAGGAGTGTACAGGTGACATGCACAAAGAGGGCTACGTTCCCAAGCTTACAGTACACCTATGGCTGGCACTGCCACTGCCATTTTGCAGGTAAGGGAAATGTGGCACAGAGACAGGACTCAAACCCAGGCAGTCGGGCTGGTAACCACTGGGTGCTACTTAGTTTTGTTTTGTGGTTTACTTACTTAGCCGTTGCCTGGGCCCTCAGATAGCCATATGGTTTGGTGTGTATTTATATAACCCTCGTTTAGCTTCCTCTAGCTAAGACATCAAGAAACTGAAGCCCAAAGTTCACTTCTTTTTTTTTTTAATTTAATTAATTTATTTTTAGAGAGAGGGGAAGGGAAGGAGAAAGAGAGGGAGAGAAACATTAGTGTGTGGTTGCCTCTCATGCGCCCTGCACCAGGGACCTGGCCTGCAACCCAGGCACTCGCCCTGACTGGGAATTGAACTAGTTGACCCTTTGGTTTGCAGGCCGATGCTCAATCCACTGAGCTATACCAGCCAGGGCCAAAGTTCACTTCTTAATTAAAAATACAACTTACTGACTGAAATAAACCTCAAACCCTGAAAGTTTCAGAGTTTGGTAGCAACATAAAAATGCAAATGATAGGCAAATATTTGTAATCCAATTTTAATCTAGTCTCATATTTGTATGTAAATAAGATCTGTTTTTCTTTTCATCAGAGAATTCACACTCTCATAGATAGAAAAGCACTAGAGCTCATGTCACACAATTTTTCTCTTGTAAGGTAATCACACACACACACACACACACACACACAAAATCCTCACCTGAGGACAGTTTTCACAGCTTTCAGAGAGGAAGGGAGAAAGAGAAACATCAATGCAAGAGCGAAGCATCAATTGGCTTCCTCCTGGATGCTCCCAGACAAGGAATCAAACCCGCAACCTAGGTATGTGCCCTGACCAAGAATCAAACCTGCAACCTCTCGGTTATGGGATGACGCTCCAACCAACTGAGCCACACTGGCCAGGGTGAAAATATATTAGTCTCTGCCCCCAGTTCCTGGCACAAAAGTCCCAAAACCCTTATAATTTCCTAAGTGATAAGGGCACTGGGAGCATCTTTTGTTCTAATATCTGGTCTGTGACCCTGACTGCTGACACAGAGTACCTAAATCCTGAGGAACTTCTTGGGTGATATAAGTGACTTTTGTTCTGTGAGGTGCCTCTCTCCAGTGGGGGGCTCCTGGAAGGGGCTGGTCACCAGGAAGACCAAGCTGCGAGTAGAGGCTTGGAACTTTCGGCCCCACCCTCCATTCTCCGGAGAGGAGAGGGGGCTGGAAATGAAGCTAATGATCTGTCACTGTGCCAGTGTGATAAAGCCGCCATCAAAATCCCAAAGGACAGGATTCAGAGAGCTCCCAACTTGGTGAGCACATCCATACACTGGGAGAGCAACGCGCCCAGCTCCACGGAGACAGAAGCTTCTGAGCTCCAGACCCTCCCGACCTCCCCTCTGTATCTGATGCAGGTCTGACTGTTCCCTGCATCCTCTACCACAGCGGTTAATAAGCTGGTAAACGTGTTTCCCTGAGTTCTGTGAGCTGTGCTAACACACAATCAAATCCAAGAGGGAGGTGGGTCCATTTGTAGCCAAGCCAAGGGCGTCTGGCAGGACGGCGCCGACCTCCAGGTCGAGTGCTGTAACTGAGTTAAATTACAGACACCCAGCTGGTGTTGCAGAATTGCTTGGTGTGGGCGAAAAACCTCGTAATTCTCGTATCAGAGCTGGGAGTGTAACAGTGGTGTGAGAGTAAAGGGGAGACACAAGGAAGAAGAACCAACGTTTAACTTTAACATCTCAGCGTCATCCCCAGTCTCTGCCACCTGGGAAGAGGCCCTTTCCAGCGAGCAACAAGGAGAACAGAAAGTCCTTCCCTGCGGTGACCGAGGAAAATCTGCTTCCTAATAAATTCTGCAATTCGATCACTCCTCCCCACAATATCCTTCCAAATATCCACAGCCTGCTATCACATTTCCTGCCCGTTCCTTCCCAGGCTGGCTGACCATCTCCAGCTCTCTCCGTCACCCCTGGGTGATCTCTGACCCCGCTGGCCTCATTTAGGTGCTCCTCTCTGTCCCATTTTAAGGTGAGGACTTAAAACAGGCAGCTTTTCAGATGTGTTCGAACCCATGCAGAGTACACTGAAACACTAATCTCTTAGTAAGGACACAATATTTCTTGACACAATATCCTAACAGGGCGCTCGACTTTTTTAACTGAAAACTTACACTGTTGACCTAAATAAGTTAATCAAGATCTCCAGATCTTACAAAAATAAGCTTTTTATAAGCCTAGTCTCTCTTCTGTTCTATTTTTGACCCAGATTTGTGGAAGATAATTGAGTTTTTAACTTAAATACAAGACTTTACATATCCCTATTATTTATTTGAAGCTAACTTTTTAAATTATACTCATATGTGCTCTGCTATTTGTATACAGAAAGTATTTTGCATTTATCCCTACAGGCTTTAATATATAAATAATCCATTATTCAGTGTAGAAAAAAATCAGGAAACACAAATAAGTAAAAACAAAACAAAAACACTATAATCTCACTAGCCAAAAATAAGCACTGTTAACATTTTGGTGCATTTCCTTTCAGAAGTATATTTATGTACTCCTAAGTACACACAGACATGTACATAAGCACATTCCCCCAATCCCGGCCATCAGCTGTGTGTGGGGCATGGAGGCCACAGCCCTGCTGGACATGCTGTACCGTGGGCTACTCAGTTGAACTGTAATACCTACTAGCTCAGGATTCTCCAAAATACAGCTTTCATTAATTACTCATTAATGTTTTGTGGTTTCCACTCATTCCATGGCTCAACACAAATGTAAATATTTCTAAAAGGACATGTATCAAATATTACTGAACATTATTCATGAACACTTTTCAGTATCAAAATGACTGTGTATTATCCTATAGGCTATACCAGAATTTCTTTAACCAATCCCCAAGCCTCCACTGTTAAAGCTAGATACTGTTTCAAATCTCTCACCATTATAGACAATGATACTATGTTAGAGGTATCTGCAACTCTTTCTTAAAAACTTCCCCTGCCAGGCCCTGCGACCAAGGTGCCCTATGCTAGCCCGTAGTTCATTTACTGGTTTTGGGTGAACACCTGCCCAAAATCCAGTCCAATTCTCTTCCCCCAAATCTAGAGTTGGTATTAGAGACCAAAACAGACTGAAGAGCCTCAGTGAGGTTGGGGATTGGGCCCGCCACGTGAAGAGGCCTTCACAGTCCTCGCCCAAGCAGATGACTAAGCAAGAGGACAAATGACAGGGACAAGAAAACAATGCACGCGCGCGAGCAGAGGGAGGAAACGAGCAACTGCGGGGTCCGGGAGGGAAACAGTTGCAGAGTCCACCTGAACACCTCCTCTTCCCCATGAGGTGCAGCTGTGCGTCCTCCAACTGGACCCTGTACAATTCCTTTCTGTTCTTTGTACTTTTTATTGTGAAATACATCACACGTATGGAACACTGCATGAGAAGCAGACTCAGAGCTAAAAATGGTAATACTACCAATAACTGCATACTCACCAACTAAGTTAATTATTAGTACTTCAGAAGTCCCTTGCATAATGCCCCTTACCAATCATATCTCCTCCTATTCTGAATTTTGAGTAAATCATTCCCTTCATATATTTTAATTACATTAATTACTACTGTGTAAAAATGTCATTTTAGAAAATTTTAGATATAAATAAAATTAGAGGCTAGACTCATGCACCCATTACCTATCTTCCCATCATCTTACCTCTCATTTCTTCTACCCCTTACCTCCCTACCTCCCTACCACACACACAGATGTCACTATATCCATTTGGAATATACCTCCAAAGAAAAAGACTTTCGATATAGGTACACTATCATCATCGCTCCTACAAAATTTGGCAAGTCCATATCATCGTTTAAAATTCTATCTGTGTTCAAATTTCTCCACTTGTTTCAAAGGTCTTTTTTCTAACAGCTGGTTCGTTTCAACCAGGATGCAAGTAAGGTTCACACACTAAATGGAGCTTCTATGTATCTTAAGTCTCAATCTATACCAATGTTCACCCCACTGTTTTTCATACATTTGTTGAAACAAAAATGAAAACATCATGTGACATGCAGATTTTCCCATATTCTGAACTTGGCTGATTGAATTTTCATGGTATCACTTTAGTAGATTCTTCTGTGCCCTGTATTACCTGTAAAATGGTCATAGATCTAGAGCGATGCTAGCACAGTAGCCACTAGCACATGTGGTTAAA